TAGGATTGGGACACAGGCCCACTTCTCCCACACTGACATTCTTACCCTATAAGCAAGAGCTGAGGTGCCTTCCCGCTCCTGGCATAGAATATCCACCCTAAAAGTCAGCTGGGGTGGGAGCATTAGGGCCCAGATTTCTTGCTCTGCTATATCTGAGATAGAGCTTCCACCCTACAAATTGGGGCCAGGTTGAGGATGGGGGGTGCCTCTTAACACCTTGCACCATTAGTCTGGAGCAGAGCTTCTGCAATAAGCCGAGGTGGAGGGATGAGCAGTGTAGACAGCCTGCTGACGCAGGGGGAAACCACAGCCTCAGCTGGGGCAAGTGGGAGAGTGGAAGTCCCCACCTTGGTGGCCACACCTGCCTGGATTAGCATTCCTGCTGCAGATCTCCTAGAGCTGAGTTGGAGGGGACAGGCTGTGACGCACATGCCACAAACTCTCACTGTTCTTACCACGATTTAGTAGGTTTTCTTGAGTGAACGATTCTCCCCTTGCTGTGTGCCTATAGAATAATTTCTAGAAATGTTAAATGACTGTTTTATATAGTTTTCTCCAGTTCAGTGGGTGGTTGTTGGGAAGAGAGTTCAGGCTGGAAGTCAGTCTCCCATGCTCAGGTATTCTGTGAATGTAAGGGAAGGGAATTTTGAAAACCTCTATGAGGTTGGTGCTCTCTCTATATATTTAACTCATGCACTTATTGTGAACTGACCATCGCACTTAAAATGTGGACATTGTTTCTCTTTTTTCAAAGATAAGGACACAGATGCAAAAGCTGAGGTAAGTCCTTGGAACCACAGTGCCAGCAGTTTGGCGCGGGTACTGAAATACACATCTGGTGTCAAAATCTATGCTAATTAACCATGCCAGCTGCCCAGCACCGATTCAATGCAGATAGTGAGAAACACAAAAACAAATACGTGGCCTGAGTCTGAAATCTAACTCTTTTCTACCACCAAACTTTTTATAATCCCTAATTATAAAAAGAATGTGAAAATAATATAGCAATTAACATGTATTGATCACTTACTAAGTACTAAGCATCTTTCAGGGATTATTTCATTTAATTCTCACATGCAAAGTTGACACTATGATGTTGGCGTTAATGTCATAGAGCTATCACACGTGAGAGGCAGGATTGAGACTCAAAAGGCTATGGGATCAGAGTGACACTGGCTTCCTGCATAGAATTACCACTGATTATCTCCCAGGTTACACAGGATAACTGAGAAAATGGTATAGAGACTTACTTCTTTTGGAAAATGTCAAATGTTTCATGTTAGTCATTATTCTTACTTTTACTTTTGAACTTAATTGTAAAAAGATGGCTCTTTTACTAAGTTTTGTCATTAGCCAGTAATTTTTTCATGTGACTAACTGAAATTTCTCTTTGTTGTAATTTAAGGTCTCAGTTTTTTCTTCTCATAGAAAAGGGACAATTCTATTTACCAGTTTGCCTAGGACGATATTTTATATCAACCCAAGAACTACAAAATATACGATATCTATTCACAGAATATAAAGAATTTTGCCTACTAAAGTAATAGCAGAGACCTTTTTTTTTTTGAGACAGAGTCTTGCTCTGTCACCCTGGGTAGAGCGCAGTGGTGTCTTCACAGCGGCAACCTCAGACTCCTAGGCTCAAGCAATTCTTCTGCCTCGGCCTCCCAAGTAAAGCATTTTTCCTCAAGAATAATCAAACTTCTCTTACAGAGTGTAATAGTTCATTTTATGTGTCAACTTAGCTAGGTCACGGTGCCCATTTTTGGGTCAAACACCAGTATAAATGTTGTTGTGAAGGCATTTTTTAGGAGTGATTAACATTTAAATCTAATATAATCTAACATTTAAATCTTCTCAAAGTCTAATCAGTAGACTTTGAGAAAAGCAGATTCCTCTTTATAACATAGCTGGGCCTTTTCCAATTAGTTGTAAGGTCTTAAGACTGAGGTTCCTGAGTAGAAAGGAATTCTGTCTGCAGACTTCTTTGGGACTCAAGATTGCAACATCAATTCCTACCAGAAATGCCAGCCTGCCCTGCTAATTTCAGACTTGTAAACTTGCAAACTCCCCTACAATCACATGAGCTAATTCATTAAAATAAGACTACTTCTCTTTATATGTGTGTGTGTGTGTCTATAAACATACATATATACACAAAAAAACAGGTATACAGCGGATATTGTGCATTAGGTTCAATAAAGTAAATATTGTAATAAAGTGAGTCACATGAATTCTTTGGTTTCTCAGCATACAAAAGATATGTTGACACTATAATGTAGTCTATTAAGTGGACAGGTGCATTATGTCCAAAATACAAAGTACATACTTTAATTAACACTTTGTTGCTGAAAACTGTAAATGATCATCTGAGTCTTCAGAGAGTCATAATGTTTTTGATGTTGATGGTTATGAACTGATCAGGGTGGTGGTTGCTGAAGGTTGGGGTTTCTATGGCAATTTCTTAAAATAAGATAACAATGAAATATGCCTATTGATTGACTCTTCCTTTCACAAAACATTTCTCTGTACCATGTAATGCTACTTGATAGTATTTTACCTGCAAGACTTGTTTCAAAGTTGGAGTCAATCCTCTCAAACTCTGCTACTACTTTGTCTATGAAACCACTTTCTTTGCTCATTCATAAGATGTGAGTCTTCATCATCTCCTTAAGTTTTATCATGAGATTATAACAATTCAGTCATATCTTCAGGCTCCAATTTTAGTTCTAGTTCTGTTGCTGTTTCTACCACATCTGCAGTTACTTCCACCACTAAAGTCTTGAACCCCTCAAAGTCATCCATGAGGACTAGAATCAGCTTCTTCCAAACTCTTCTTAATGATGACATTCTGACCCTCTCCCATGAATCACAAAGGTCCCTACTGGCATCTAGAATGGTAAATCCTTTCCAGGAGGTTTTAATTGACTTGGACAGATCCATCAGAGGAATCACTACCTTTAGCCTTACCAACTGTATTTCTTAAATAGGAAGACTTGAAAGATGAAATTACCCCTTGATCCATGGGCTGCAGAATGGATGTTGTATTATCAGGCATGAAAACAATGCTCATCTTCCTGAACATCTCCATCAGAGCTCTTGGGTGACCAGGTGCATCATCAATGAACCTGGTCACCTGAATATTTTGAAAGAAATCTTTTCTTCTGATGAGCAGTAGGTCTCAAGAGAGGGCTTAAAATATTCAGTAAACCATACTATGAAGAGAAGTGCTATCCTCCAGGCTTTGTTGTTCCATTTATAGAGCACAAGCAGAGTGGATTTAGCATAATTCTTTAGGGCTCTAGGAATTTCAGAATGATCAATGAGCAATGGCTTCAACTTAAAGTCACCAGCTGCATTAGCCCCTAACAAGAGAGTCAGTTTGCCCTTTGAAGCTTTGAATCCAGGCATTGACTTTTCCCCTCTAGCTATGAAAGTTCTATATGGCAACTTCTTCCAAAAGAAGGATGTTTCACCTAAATTGAAAATCTGTTGTTTAGTGTAGCCATCTTCATCAATAATCTTAGCTAGATCTTCTGGAGTCCTTGCTACATGCAGCTTCTCCACAGCACGTGCTGCTTCACCTTGTACTTTTATGTAAGGAAATCAGCTTCTTTCCTTAAAACTCATGAATCAACCTCTGTGAGCTTCAAACTTTTCTTGTGCTGCTTCCTCGCCTCTCTCAGTCTTCACAGAATTAAAGAGAGTCCGGACCTTGCTCTGGATTTAGTTTTGGCTTAAGGGAATGTTGTGGCTGGTTTGATCTATCCAGACCACTCAAACTTTCTCCATATCAGCAATAAGGCTCTTTTGCTTTCTTATCATACATGTGTTCACTGAAACGGCACTTTTAATTTCCTTCAATAATTTTTCCTTTGCATTCACAACTTGCCTTAACTATTTGGTGCAAGAGGCCTACCTTTCAGCCTATCTTTGCTTTCAACATGCCTTCTCATTAAGCCTAATCACGTCTAGCTCTTGATTTAAGGTCGAGATGGGTGACTCTTTCTTCCATTTGAACACTTAGAGGCCACTGTACAGCAATTAATCGGCCAACTTTCCTGTTGTGTCTCAGGGAATAGGGAGGTCTCAGGAGAGGGGGAGATGGGGGAGTGACCAGTCAGTGGAGCAATGGGAACATACACATTTATCAAGTTTGCCATCTTAACATTCATGCAGTTCATGGTGCCCCAAAACAATTACAATAGTAACATCAAAGATCTCTAATCACAGATCACCATAACAGATATAATAATGAAAAAGTTTGAAATATTGCAAAAGTTACCAAAATGTGACACAGACACACAAAGTGAGCACACAGTGTTGGGAAAAATGGTGCTGTTAGACTCTCTGGTCGCAGGGTTGCCACAAAGCTTCAATTTGCAAAAAACGCAATATCTGCAAAGCATAATAAAGCGAGCACAGTAAAACCAGGTAGGCCTGTGTGTTTACATATATGTCCAATTGATTCTGTTTCTCTAGCAAATTCTGACTAATAAGAGAGAGGGGAGAAGAAGAGATGATTGAGGCAGAGAAGCAGGGAGACTGCTGAGATAGTTTTCCATGTTCACCCACAATTCCACGTCTCCATTCTGGAAGTGAAGGTGCAGCCAAAGGAAGCTCGTGGCTTCTTACCTAGACTTTACTTTTGAAGGTAGAAATTCAATAGCTTTTCATAACCAAACTCTGAAACAGGGTCCTGCTCTTTTCCTTCTTTCTTGTATTTCCACAGTCCTAAACCCTATTTAAAAGAGAAGGTGCTAAGCTATTCACGACAATTTGGTATTGAACAGAATTATACATCACCCAGCATCACAAAAATAAAATTCATAAATTCATTGCAAAATGAAAGTACACCATTTTATTAGATTTGTTTTCGTTTTATGCTTGAAAAGAAAAAAATTGAACTAATAATTGCTTCCTTCAGATGAAATAAATATACTGAGGATTTTACAAGCCCATTCTGAGAAGAAATATATTAAACAAAAGTAATTTCTCACCATTTATGGGTCTCTGCCAATGAATTCTCCTCTGCCTCTTGATCAATTTTAGCTGAAAATACAAGGAAAGTACATGAGATGACCTTTGGCAGTTACACTATCTCAAGCAAGATATTACCTCAATAATACACAATTTTAATTATTAATTCAAATGTACTCCAACCAGAAGTTTATTTCAAATCTGCAAATGTCACAAATATGTGATTAAAAAGATTAAATTTAATTTTAATTAACTTTAATTTTAATTAAATTGATCCTATTATACTGATGCAGATATGTTACATAACCAACAAAATTTTTCAGATTCTAAATAATTTCTTTAAATCATTCATATTAACCTGCAAAAAGAAAACACTAATTTCATAGTTACCTCAGATGTGTCAGTATTCAAATGCCAACAATTAGCTGAAAATAATTCCCTCAAGCAAAGTTGCAAACGCTAAGTCAAGAAACTAAACAGAACTGGCATGTAGTAACGTTCTCAGTTATGGTAAGAATCCGGAACTCATTGCAATTGTGCCCTCCACACCCGAACACAGGTGAACAGATCATGGTCTGCTCTGAAAGGGGAGAAGGTGATAATGTACCCATTTATTTGCTATCATTCTTTTGTCTAAAAATAAAGAATGGTAGTCTGACACAAACCCAAAGATCAAACTAAGAAAGAAGATTAAATCAATATTTCAAATTGCTTAAAATAACACAGGTACTCCTTCATATAGATATAGATATATATAGGTATAGCAGTGACTTCGAGTTTTTTTGACAAGTAAGCACTCGAGGAATTTATGTATTTCTCCACCCCTACCCATCCCCACCAACCTCCATACGTATATATTTGACATGAAAGTGTCAAAGATACTTTAATTTCATGCAATGCTCTCTGATATTTTCAGTATATTCCACTGGATTTTAAAACATTAGTTATGATCTGCTAAATTGATTTCATGACTCGCTAACGGTTTGTGACCCACAGTTTGAAAATCACTGAGTAAATCATAAGACAAAAAGAAAAGAAAATAGATTAAAAATACTCTGGAAGTAGTGAAAGTAGTTGTCTTTTTATAATCATTCCCCTTTGGGTCACACTTGTGGCCATTTGAAGAAATTAGGAGGCAAAGTGAAACAGGGAAAATTGATCATAAAAAAATGGAACTGTGCATGAAACCAAACCCACAGTCACTTGGGAATTGTCAGTGTCTCTATTACTACTTAAAACACAATAGCACAGTGTGGGCTGGTTAATGTTTTACAACCTCAAGACAGTGTTTTTGCGAAGGTCTGTGCAGTGTCTGCAAAGTAATAACTGAGTGTTATGCTGCCACTTTTTGCAGGATTTTCAGGATTTAACAGGGATCACTTGAGCTGGCAGCAAAGATTTTTTTTTTTTTTCTTTCTTTCCTTTCCCTTTCTGTACTTCAGATTGTTTACATAAACGTACAGGTCAATTGTTAACCATATTAAAAAACAGAATGAATGTTCTATAGTTTTACTTCGAAAAGGCTCCAACATGAACACATTGTCTTATAAAAATCTGCTCTGAGTTGCCTAACATAAAAAAAAAAAGACTTGCTTCCAGAAACAATTCTAGAACCACATAAAGTTTGTTTAAAGGAAAATTAAAAAGCACCACAATGCACATTATTTTCGAGAAGAAAACTTTTCCAATGCCTTTCACATGTCTTTTTTGTTATTTATAAAATACACAGATTAAGACTGTGATTGGAAGAAAGAATTTCTGGACTATTTTAGAAGATTTAAGTAAATGATTTATGAAACTTAAAAACGCACTATAGTAAAATGAGATGCCAGAGATCTGTATTTTATTCCTGATTCTGCCACTAAAATGAGCCATGTGACCTTTGGCAAACAGATTAATCTGTTTGCCAAATATGTAAAAACTATTTAGCATAGTACCGCCAACAATTAATAGGGACTTAATAGATAAATATCCTTTGAAAATTTTGGACTTGAAGATCTTAACATTTTTGAAGTGATATACAGAATCATGAGCTAGTCAACTGCTATTTTTATTATATTCCAACATTATATGCAATAAAGAAAACACATACAGCTTTTCTAAAAGCATAAGCCCCCAAATTGTGGTGAGTAGAATAAAATGAGTTTCACTTGTTCGTAATGATTCCTTTTGATGTGCACCAAAACAGCTCTTGCTTCATTGCATGAGCAAGTTTGGCTGACAAAAAAACTTTAATCCAATGTGACAGAAGATTGATTCTTACCCTAGAGGAACAAAACATAAAACTAGGCCCTCTCACCAAACCTAACAGCCATATTACAATCATAAAGACAAATTGGAATAACAGAAAACACTTAATAAATGCTCTATTATCCATTATTTTTACATGATTTTGAAGCTAAGGGGATTTGTGTATTCAAACTGTAATCAGCTTTGATAAACAGTCAAATGAGAGATCAAAGAAAGTGCATTAGAGTACATATGTCAGCTCTTGACATAGCGTCAACAATTTGATCAAACAGATTTTCCTTTGTATAACAATTTTAGGAAAAACTTTCTGACAAGTTGGGGCGCAATTCTGGTTTTGGGGAACACTGAGGTGCCATTTTCCAAAATGCTGCTTGTATAAATGCACCATCAACGTTTTGTTGTCACATTTCTTTTAAACACACTTATGAAGTGAATTTAGTAACGAATGCAGGATGTGGTTGTTTTCCATAGTGAGGATGAACCTACCACGCTGGAATAAAATGTAATTTAATCAGTGAAAATTAAGATATTGTTTGTAATGAAATAAGTCTGCTATTCACTTAAGGAGCACGCAAACTAATTACATGCCGTGAACAGAAATCTCAGACCAGCTGTGTTTTTCGGTCTGAGTAACAATTTTGATAGGCTGTGTGCCACCACTGTTAACATGCACAGACTTTCAAAAGCTTGGCTTATGGCGACACAGAAAATAAAGTGATTTTCTACATGCAGCATAAATATCACACTGTTTATTATTTTGTTTCCTGACCTCTGTTTTCCAGAAATATAAAAAAATATTTTCTATTAATTTCTAATGGCAGTTTTGCGAAGAGCTTTTGAAAGCCAGCATAACTTTTAGCAGCTGTTTCCTAGATATTTATAATCTGCTATCAATACACTTTATTAAAGTATGTTAAATTAATATATAAGCAAAGACATATAAAAGATTCTAATTTCTCCTTCAAGTAAGATTAATTTCCTCATTCTTTAGAGTATGTAACTCATTTCTTTCTTGACATATCAAATGAGGATGGCAGACTTCTAAGTTATTCATAATCAAGGTAACTCTAGGAAAGCTAAAAAAAAAAACATTTAAAATAGATAAATAGGCACGAGGCTTGGTTTGCAGTGATCTTCTTCACATTGTCATCAAATCCCCTGGGCTCTCTGGCTACAGTTCCCCAGCCAGTCCTGAGCAGCCTCTGCAGAAGCATTTGCATGACTGCTGTGCACAGCAATGCCCAGGGGGCTCCTGGGTCTCTAGGAGGATCCCGCTAGGGCCACTGTTTCGAGCTAGATTGTGATATTTAGAATCAGACAAACCTGGGGTTGAATTCCAGGTCAGCCAATAAATTGTGGTAGATTTAATACCTCTGATAATCGCTTTGGTGTAATAACTTTTCATCATCATTAAAATAGGGCAATAATTTTTTTCATTGAGTTGTTTCAAGATTTAACAATATAATGCATAGAGCACCTATTGCATAAAAATACTCTTCCTGTCTTACTCCCACATACATCATTACTACGAAAAAGAATGGGGATGTGTTGCTTCTAAAATGTGAAAAGTCTTGCATTGTAGGACGCTACGTATCTTCCTGTTAATTTTTCTATACAAATCCAGATGCAGAATTAAACACATGCTTTGCTAAAGTAAGGGTGCATCTTTGTATGAACAGAGAAATTATGGTCCGAGACCTTTTTAAAATCAGGGGATAACTCTAAAATACATTTATTAGATTTTCTTTCTTTTACTCTCTAATTAATCTATGTGTGTAGCTGTTTTAAAAGGCACAGAATAGAGAATTCCACTGGCTATGGTATAGCTTCTTAGCTCCCCCCCCCTTTTAAGGCACAGAATCAAATGAAATTGCTATAAGAGAGAAGACAGTATTTTTGGTATATTTAGTGAGAACCTGCTGAAATCTAAGAGATAAAATGACTTTTCTTAAAAAAAAAAAATCAATGCTCCTTTAAAGCAGACCTTTTTATTCCAAAAATACTATGGGTGACCATTCATGTCTTGATGTTTGAGATCCACTGCCAAGAAAACGTTCTGAGATTGAGACACCAAAATGAGAATTAGCAGTGGAATGGAGTGAGAATTCAGACAGTGAAAGAAAGCAATCCATTATCTGCTGACCCCAAAGGGAAGGAACAGGATGATATGGTATGAGAAAAAAGGCAAGATTACAAAGTGGTTGGTACTGACAATCTTCAGAGAGTATCAGTAGCTCTTATTTTAATGGACCTAGAACTGTGGAGAGAGACATGCTCCTTAGAGAGAAGTTGATCAGTTAACTGCTGTATCTCAGGGGCAAACTGGGCCTTAGACATTAGTCAGAACATCCCAACTGTTATTCTAGTGTTGATGATATTCTCTTTTGCTCCTTACTCCTCCTACCCCCCAACAAATCTCAAGTGCTAGAGATCTGCAATTTGAAGCAGAGAAAGCCTGTGGTTGGAACCATACTATCAAAGAAACACAGAACTTTTTAGGCAGCAGCCTTCATTTATTTATTTGGTTACTTTTCTTTCCATCTATTTATTTCTTTATTTTACGATCAGGGCATAAGATTATCTTTTAGGTCTGATTCTACCAGAGACCACTGGCTCAGACAGTCCTATGCCACTGAACATGCAACAGGATAAAAATAGCATTTTCATGGTTCCGTTTCAGCGTTTTGGCATTCGGTGATGTCTCCTCCCAGGGCGCTAATACTTCCTCCCCGAAAATCTCTGCCTCGACAAATATTTTCTGGTGGTTGCTGTCCTACTAAGTTACTATTTGGACCCAGTGATTAGCGTCTGTAGTCTCTGTC